GACGTACTGGTCATAAAGAGGCCTTCTAGTCTTCCGACCACTCAAAGTGCTTTTTACGACACATGCCGGATCGCCCTTTCACACACGATTACACAGAATCAGGACAATATTATCTTACTCAAGGAATACTTCGACAAGCAGCGATTGATCCAAACAACCTTTCTATAATGGACGACCCCTCGACCACAGCCGCAGTCGATTCGAACAACTGGCTCAGCCTCGATACATGGAACCAGCTCTACCACTGAGCTATAACGGCACCCGCATTTTCAATTGTTAATAGGAAATTCGAAAGGCACTGAGAAACAGCTGACATTATCCGTATCCAAATTGCCTGTTCTTTCCTTATGACTCAATTGTGACTCACAGATAAAAGTAGAATTAGAGGCTGCCACTAACAGTATCTTCACCTACGATGAAAACAGAATTCACAGAGCCTGCTTGCTGCTCTCCTCAGTAAACGTCATGGCAGACTGGAGTAAATACACATCCGTTTGCCTGATGGCGACAGCTTAATGACAGGAATAAAGTACTGCTGGGTTGGCTCGCCGGGGCTGAGTTGCGACTTATTATAGCTTGAGCGTGGTAAATAATAATAGACTAGCACCAGCTACTTATGATTGCCACTTAAGTTATATATTCGAATATAAAAACAGTCCATTTGCCATTTACCATAACATGATAAGAGTAATAATAATAAGTCAAGGTGGTCAGGGTGGTTTCAAATTGTTTTGACATGGATCTCTGTGCCTCTTCTGACATGACATTTAAATGTCACCAGGTGTGAGGTCTTTCTGTCATGAAGGCAGAAAAATGGTCTAATTTGGGCTTCGGAATAATTTTACATCTGTTGTGCTTTGTGCAGGGGTGGCACTGAGTCTGCAGAACACTTAGCCTCGATCTAAGGTCGATCTAGCTGTACTGTGAGCCTGAAAAAAACTCAAATAGAATTTCAATTGGCCATGATGGCAGGCTTTCAACATCACAGAGTGTCTAGGGGCATGACACCACAGAGAGTCAACTCATTGGATTTCACCTGATCTGATGAGCCAGATCATGTGACAATCAGGGTTTTAAAAGACCTTCACTGTTTTCTGAGAACTTAATACATTGAGTCATTGAGTGCACATAAAATTGCCTTCGGTTTAAAGATTTGAAAAGAATGTCTGTATTGCATTAGAGGTTGAGCTGTTTTAGTGTCCTGATGTTTTCATAGTTAGTCATGGTTTTATACAGATTCTTCAGCATGGATACAAGTCTTCAACAGGGATTTTATGTGGATAGTTTGGACAGCTGTTTTCTCATATAACACCACTGTGGTTAAGGTTTGGTTAGGTTTAGGCCCCAAAAACATCTTGATTAGGGTATGTTCATGAATTGTCACATATTTCTTTCAAATTCAAAGGGATGAAGCATGGGAAATAGACGTTTACATTGCCAAAGCAAGTGTCAAACATATGTGTATACAGATCAGTAATAACTTAAAATAAAAAAGGTTGTGGTATGAGCAGCAATTATTATTTTTTTTTAAATTTGAAATCTAATATTACAGAGTAATATGTTCAAATAAATGTCATATGTGTTGTCCTTTTGTAAATTATCCACATTTCATTTTTGAGTCATCACACCTTTGTGTGCAATTAGATTTAGGTTTATTTTGCATATATTGCACAGCTGTACAGTTTAAGTGTGTACTAATTTTAATAAAGTCAGGTTTGTGCCATTACCGTCAGACCGTATCATATTTTATACATTTCCCTCTCTCCAAACAGCATGCTGTTGGTGGGAGGAGTGCAGTGGATGGTCTATGAAATGACTTTTCAGGAAAGCTTCCATACTCCATAAGTAAGCAGGACAACTAAAGGTATTTGGATAAGGTTAGAGCAGTTAAATAAAGTCCAGTCAAGTCAAATTATATTCATATAGCCTAATATCACAAATCACAATTTGCCTCAAAGGGCTTTACAATCTGTATTACAGTCAACACCATCTGTCCTTAGACCCTCGATTCTGGTAAGGAAAGACTCCAAAAAACCTTTTAAAAGGGAAAACCTGGAAGAGACTTCAGGAGGAGGCACAGAGAAGAAACCCTCTCTCAGTACAGACAGACATGCAATAGCTGTCACACATACAGAGCAGACCAACAAAATCACAGTAAATAAATTACTGTAACAGAATTTCATGTGGATTATAAAAAATATGTGAACAATGTGGATCCAGGAGGACATTGAGCAACTTCAGGTGTCTCCAACTGAGACCTGAGCCATCTTTTCATGTGTCATTTTACACAATTTTTACTGACTGATATTGTGTCATTATACGCATGAATGTCATAGAGAGAAAAATGTCAGATGATGTTGCATAAAGAGCGACAAAGTCTGCAGATGGAGGAGGTTGTGCAGGGTTAGTGGGTCAGACACCCTTTCGTCCAGTAGAGGACTCGTCATGTTCGTGCGAAACCAGAAGTCAATGTTTTTTTAGCTTTATTGTGTAATGTATTCAACTTGCGTGACATACATAACTCAAGCGAGGTAAATACTTATTTTAATGTGATGTTTTAATTGTGTTTTCCTCAACCTAACCAACCTGCAACCATTTCACATAATCACCTGACTATTGTTACCATGACAATGAAGGGCCTAGGTTTGATTCCAGCCTGTGGCCCTTTGCTGCATGTTATCCTCTGGCTCTCTCTCTCCTTTTCTGTCTATCTTCAGCTGTCTCTATCCATTAACAAAAAGCCCCAAACAATATAAATGTATATATACAGTGCAGAAACAGCCAAATATTCTTCAATATAATCAAATTTTCTTGTATTTAGCACAAAAAACTGCCAATGAGGTAAGCCAACTCTGGCTGACTAAAATCTAGCCACTGAAAGACTGTAATGGGCCTTAAAACTATTTTGTATTTTGTTTCCTTATCGAGTTAAATTTAAGAATTTGTACCTATTTTTTGTCCTAATTTAATTTTATTTTTTAGCATTTTTAAATGAAACAATGAAAAACTAAACAGCTGCTTAATTTACAACACTGGGACAAGACTACTTTCTCTTAAACTGAGAAGTTGTGCAAGTGGTCTTAACTCTTAAAATAAAGGAAATAATCTTTTTCCTCTGCTGGGATATTATGGAAACCATTGTTGTATTTTTTTTTTAATCAAGCTCAATATTAGCTGTAGATATATTTTCTTAAAACCAGATTACTTTTCTAATGCAAAACATGCTTGACAAGATAAATATTTTTAGACCAAAAATAAGAGTAATTTCCTAGAAACAAGGCTTTCCAGAGATTCCTTTTTTGCAGCTTTTTACACAATCCCATGTTATCACGTTGGATGCAACCTCCTCTCCACCATGGGGACGTGGAGGAGGACAAGCCACACAAAGAAAGAAAAAAGAGAGAGAGAGAGAACTAGAAAGAGAGAGGAAGAGAAACTCACACAGCTTGGAGACAAAACGAAACAGAGGGTTAATAGATGTCACGTGTACGGAACAGTTTAGCAAAACTCATCAGATAATAAGCCAAATGTCACACCAGAACCAAATGTCACACCAGAACAACATTCTCAGCAGTTACAACGAATTCTTCTAAATAACCAGGAACATGTTGTGAGGTAAAGCCTGTCCAGTGGGCACTTCTGCAGTCAAACAGAGCACCAAGCATACAGTTTATTTCAGCATGATTTGGTTTGTTTAGACAGGAGCCTAAATGCCACTGGATTGTATCATATTACAGAACAGGAAATTTTTTCCAACCCCAGAGCCACACTAGAATATTCTCATTTTGTTTTTCTTGTTTGTTTTCATTATGTTTTTTCGCATAAATGTGGATAATTACTGTATGTCTCCTGCCACCACCTCTGCTGCTCCGTATTCTGTGAGCATTGGGAAGTTACACTTGGAACCTGCTGACTATGACTCACTGCTATTTTATTTACACCAACGCAAGAACCTCTAAAACATCTGTTCAGCTTTGTCGTAAAGAAGGATGTAATACCTATAGGCAGGGTTGGGGTTAAAAATGTAATCCAATACAATTTCTAAAGTACTTGTTTAAAAATCCAAGTATCACAATATTAAAGTTACATAACTTGAGTACTCTCTGTTACTTTGGATTACCTCAACCCAGGCAACAGAACAATGTGACCTAGAAAAGAAAATTGAAACAGAAACAATTCAAGACTAATTGTCTTCTGTAACTGTAATGGATTACAGTACATGTAATCTGTTACTCCCCATGCCTGTTAACAGGAGACAATAACAGTATACCGATACAAACATTTATGAAACTGATGGGTCTTTTTATCCCCAAAGCATATAGTATCTAATTCAGGGGTGTCCAAACTTTTTTCACTGAGGGCCACATATGGAAAAATATACGAAGGGCTGGGCCACTCACTATAATGAGGTATATCTCCTCACCTTTAGTGTATTGAAGTTTGCAAAATCAATCAAATGTAG